GCAACGGAAGCATGTGCCCTGACCCGGAATTGAACCATGATCTCCTGGATCCTAGGTCGAAGCTCAGCTGCTGAGCCACACCCAGCTGGGCTCCCTTACTTTTTTTAACATGAAGTAATTACTGATGTTTCTAGATTCATTGATTATTGTTAAAAATGTTTTGGTTTATAGATTTTGGAAATTAATACTGAAATTTGCCAAAAATATTTTTAAGTACAAAGTTTCCTTAAAATTCTAATGGAAAAATGAACATAATAGGAACTCGTTACTGGCTTTAATCTTGGTTATTTCTGTTAGATGGGGCAGGTGCACAGGTAGGTTAAAGAAAAAGTGCTCACGTGAACTTCTTTCATTAGACTCATGCTCACTTTCTATAGTTACGACATCTTTCAAAGATTAAAAAGAGGTTGAATAAGCAGTTAATATATAAAATTGGAAATTCCAAAGCAGATAGTAACTTCCAGAAATTCTGCTGCGGCATTAGTCCCAGGCTGTGACCAAATACGGCTCCATTCTTCTGTGGGGAAAACTGTGGCTTTGCCTAGAGCCAGTGTTGACTTAGCTTCTGACATTTATTTGTGGAGTGTGTTTAAAAGGAGTGAATAAATACACTAAGGGGAGGTAAATAACCAATTCCTTTTTCTTTTTATCTGTTTAAAAAAATTAAATCAATGGACATATACTCATTTAAAAAATTACAATTTAATAATTTTCTTATAGAATGCAGATTTGTAACAAATAATTGATTGGTAATGAAATTTCAGTCAATATCAGGTTATGTCTTTCCCTTGAATTCCTTTATAGTTCAACTTTTCAAAAGATACTGCCTCAGCTGAGTTTCAGGAAAAGAAAGTTCAGAGCGTTTAAAACATAGTGGGTCGTATTTACAGTAATGGCTTTGTTCCTCATATATGTAGAAGAGGCTTAGGCCAGGATCTTAAAGGAAGTGCTACTACATTTTAACATGGAGGTTAAAATCTTTTTTTAAAGAATTATTTTTATTGATTTTTGGGTTGGGGGGAGGGAGAGAAACATCCATTGGCTGCATCCTACACACTCCCTATTGAGGACTGAGCCCCAAACTGAGGCTTGTGCCCTGATTGGGAATCCAGCCAGCAACCTTTTGGTGCAAGGGGTGACACCCAACCAACTGAGCCACACCGGTCAGGGTGAAAGTTAAATCCCTATAACTGCTTATCCTGGACATTAAGGGGCCATAACTGAACATTTTTGCGCAACATTTATAGTTTTGAAAAGAGGTTCACTTATCATGGCCTTAGACTCTGTTTTCTTCTTCAGCTACCACATCCAACCCATGGCAGAGACATGCTTGTTCTGCCTCAAGTCTAGGCTGCTCTTGAAATGGCCCCCTTCCCTTCACCCTGAAAGCCCCTCTTGGTCCAGACTACCAGGGGTAGTTACTGGAACGAGCAGCAATTGCAGCTTCCTTATTTTCCTGCCTGGGGCCCAGCTTCCTCAACCTTCACACAACATTCAGAGGCTTCTTGTAAAAATGCAAATCTAAGGATTTCTTGGCAACTAAAAACCTCTGTGACTTCCCAGCTAGGATAAAGTCCCATGTCCTTAGCAAGAAGAGATGACAATCTCTTCAAATTTTCCTCTACCACTTGCCTCTTATTTTGTTCTTTAGTTATTCTGGGCTTCTTTTAGTTCTGGGTCTCCCCATATGCTGTTGCTTTTGTCTAGAATATTCCTCCCTATACTGTGTCCCTGTTCCTCATAAGTCTCAGCATACACTGCAGCCTCCTCTAACCGCCCCCAACACTATATTAGATATCTTGCTGTATGTTTCCAGAGCACCTTTGATAACATTTGTCACACCTATAATATTATGTCATGATTGCATTCTTCATTTTTTAATTAACTGCATAAGTTCCACGAGGTCTTGTTCATTGCAGCACCTAGTATACTTACTTTCTGGCATAGCATGCAATTCGTTGGTAAAGGTTGAAATTGAATTAATGCTCATAGTAGTTTTGTGATGGAGTTTGTAGTTTTGCATTCATTTTACAGTTGAGAAAACTGGAGGCATAAGGAAGTTAAAATTTACCCCAAAATTCCAGCCAGTAAATGATGGATCGAGTTGGCCATGGGTGTGTCTCAGATGCAGGGTAATGACTTAAATCTTAGGCTCCTGCTCCTACAGGTTTATTTTGACATTCTAAGCTTTTAACAAAATGTATGGCCAGTGAGTCATCTCTGTTTAGAAAGCCTTTAGGAGTTGGAAGCTACCTCCTGATGATATAATGTTTGACTCTGAGGTCTTTGGGGTGGGGAGTTCCAACTTTTGTTAAGCCCTAAATAATGTTACAAGTGAAACAAGTATTGGCAAGACTGGATGGGCCTGTAATCTGTCCTCATTGAGAGGTTTTTGCCTTAAGCTAAGAGTGCAGGGAGAATAGAAAAGCACCTAAATTTGTTATGGTGAGTCCTGATTTATAGTAGTTGAGGTTGAACAACAAAGTCTTACAACTTAGGACTCCATTGTGTCCTCTTAGCTTTGGAAGCCAACTGAGGACAGCAGGGACATGGGCATTTGGCGAACCATTAGGAGGCCAGGGACATGGGCTCTAGAAGCCCCTGAAGTCACCCTATGAATGTTGTAAAATTTGGAGACCATTTTGGGCTAATGGTGTGGCAACTTTAATTAATTAATTAATTTTAAAAATTTGTCTTTGATTTCTGAGAGAGGAAGAGAGAGGGGTGAGAGAGAGATAGAAACATCAATGATGAGTCATTGATCAGCTGCCTCCTGCACACCACCTACGGGGATGGAGCACGAAACCTGGGCATGTGCCCTGACTGGGAATTGAACCATGATCTCCTGGATCCTAGGTCGATGTTCGACCGCTGAGCCACGCCGGCTGGACTAACTTTAATTTTTAGGTGATGTTCTCTTGAAAAAAAAATTTTTGAAGTGATTGGGAGACTTCAGCGTCACTCAGACTTCTGCCTGATGGTACACTGTATCCATTACCAGCTGTGCAGGAGGCCCTCCTTTTCTGAAGTATTTCTGCATGGGTCTCTTACTTTCTCCTCCTTGCAGCTGCTTGGGAAGTTTACTCCAGCATCCCTGAGCTATTAATTAATGTCTGGATTATATTGTGTTAGCTGCTCTAAAAGCTTGTGGTGATATGTGAGGACAGGGGTGGGGGTGGGGAGGTGGCAAGTGAATACAGATGAGTTAATGTGAGAGTAGTTCTGTGTGGTGGTTATGACTAAGCGCTCTGTTAAGAGAACAGTCATTACTGATTGCCAGAGGGTGGCTTTAGGAAGGTGGTGGAATTGAGCTGTCACTCAGAGGCAGGGAAATCTGTTACTTAGCAACAGAGTGGAAGTTGCAGAGGAAAGCTGTATTAGTATTCTTCAAAATAATTTCAGGATGGAATTGATTCTTGGATGAAAGACTTCTACAGATGGTCACAAAAAAGATCTTCAGTTTTGAAACAGTGTTCCTCTGGAATCTTGTGCTTATTTAATAACTGTTTCTTGACTGTGAGTGCTCATACCACATTCCTAAACAGAATGGGAAGGCCTTTCTGAAAAATTCTAGTTTGTTTGCTTTAAATTCCAGGATAAAAATATATTGTAGTGTTAAATAAAAGGTTATAGAAATGGTTTTATTTAATGCTAAATACTTAGTGTATGCTCCTTGATTTCTCTATAAATTATTTTAACAGAATAATGAAAACTAGGATTACATTCATGGTAACCAAGCAATTTACACCTTTCTCTCTCTCTCTCTCTCTAGAGCTGTAGGTAAAACTTGCCTACTGATCAGTTATACAACCAATGCATTTCCTGGAGAATATATCCCCACTGTGTAAGTATCTTAGGTTAAACTGGGAGTTAACTCATCTGTGATGTCTTCCGGACATCTTTGACCTTCATTTTGCTGCTTTCATGAACAGATATGATGACTTCCACTCAAATGTTCACCAAAGTCTAGGTATTTCGGTTTTTAAAAAGTAATCTAAAGTTTCCATGCAATGATGAAACACACAGCTTTCCTAATTGATTTTTAGGCATTTAGGAAACAAAAGAAAGTTAAACTAACTGAAGCACAGAGGCTGGGTAATGTAAGAGTTTCAGATAAATTTTGCTCTCTGGGCTCTGTGTGTGAGGGCTCCAGGAGCTGGAACATGAACTACTCCATTATGTTGTAATTGGCCTTTTCTGGCAAGTACTCCACTGGTTACATGTCACTGCCGAGTTATGGGGCTTTGGGATTTAACCAGGGTGTGTTTGGGGTGAGTATACAGGAGGATGGAGTTGGCTACTGAGCTGCTTATTCCCTGTTGGCAGCAGAATTGGGTGGAGACGGAAAAGTGTTTTTCTGATGATGGGGTTACTAGGGAGCCCCATTAGCCTGCCTGGCCTCATAGCACCACCCTGTGGCCACGGTGAGCTCTGTACTCACAGCTTCCATCCAGGTGGGAAGAAACACCTCAAGTCCCACCTCCTCAAGCACAACACTCACACTTAGGTGCATAATATGTCTTGTGCATATTTTAGTATAAGTGGAATCATACTGTTCAGAATTTATGGTGGGGACTTTCTTTATCTATATGTGCAGATAGAGCTAAATCATTAACAGCTGTTATGACTTTGAACTGCTATAGGTGACTGACCACTGGTCATTTAGACCTTTTTTTTTTTTGCATTACACACAGTGCTGTGTTAAACATCCTTGCATGTGTGTGCACATGTGATAGATTATGAGTAGTGGAATTGTGTCAAATTTAAAATTTTGATGGATACTACCCATTTGCCATCTAAAAGGCTATTGCTTTGACCAGCTGTGACTGAAGCAGCCCTTTAATACATGCTGTGGTCCACACGAGTTGAAAAAGATAACTCATCATTTGCATTTCTGATCATCAGTGCGGTTAAAATCTTTTGAATGTTTACTGTCCATTCATAGTCTTCTCTCAATTGCCTGTTGACATTTTTGCTTATTTTTCTACTAAAATATTTTTCGTACCGATGGATCTTTTGTATATAAGAAACATTAATGCCTCTGTCTCTCATTTGTCTTTGAACTTTGTTATGGTGTCTTCTGCCATGAGCAAGTGTAACATTTTAATGTAGATAGGTCTCTCTCCTGTTTCCCTGAGTTTTATGTTTTGCCAGGGAAGGCCATTCCTACTTGAGTGATGCAAAAAATATTCTCTAGTAATTTTTCTAGGATTTTTGTAGCTAAAGTTTTTATCTGTAATTCATTTAGGATGTATTTTTAAAAATTTTTATTGATTTTTAGAGAGAGGGGAAGGGAGTGGAGAGAATGCGCGCAACAGACATCAGGTTGTTGTTCCACTCATTTATGCGTTCATAGGTTGCTTCTTGTATGTGCCCTGACTAGAGATGGAACAAGCAACCTTGGCACATCGGGACGATGCTGTAACTCATTGAGCTACCCATCCTAGAATGTATTTTTTATTTTAGTATGAGACATGCACTTGATTCTTTTTCCCAAATCGGGGGGATAAAAAGTCACTATTTAGTGAATAACCCTTTTTTCATGAGGCAGAATTACTATACATTAGACCTTTTCTTTATGAAAACTAGTTTGGTCATTAAATTTTATAAACCATATTAGCACCTTACTCAGACCTTGACTTTGTTGTCCCAGTGTAGTAAGACCCTAGTTTTAGTCTTCAAAGTATGTAAAAATGAATTCTGGAGTTTTATTATGGTCTGGTACCTGCCCTGGTTTGAATTGGAATGCTAGATTTTCTTTTTAATGAACTTCTTACTTGATGATACTTGTAGTAATTTTTTGTCAACCTTATTTTCCCCTGCTAGCCTGTAGGTTTTTTTGCCTCCTATAGTTAACCAATTTTTGTGTAACAACTTCAAAGTAATTTATATGTGTAATCTGGTACACTCACTTTGAAAACGTTACGCATTCTCAAATCCCCCTGCACGTTGGTTCCGGGCATGGATGACCAAGACCCGACTCATTGCCAACCTGGGCTCAGGTGGGTCTGTGTAGGCACAGCTCCAGCCGTGTGCCATCTTGTTGAGAGTGAGTCAGACATCTATGAAAAACTCAGCAAGCGGGATTGAAAGAGGGACCAAGTTTACACTTTATTTCTTCCTGGGGAGAAAAACCTTCATGTTCTCTTTAGTAAAGTAAAGCTTTCTTAGTGCTGATAGTAATTTGTTTCAGTTAAATTTAGTAACTGTCCTTCGTTTCTCAGGCATTGCATATGTTTCCCTCACACACCACCCCACTTTCCCTCCATTTCTTAGCTCATTGGCATTTCCTAGTGTCTGCAGGAGGGCATTTGCTGTCCTGGCAGCCTCCAGGCCTGCTCCCAGCCTTCTCAGCACCACCTCCTCTGAGACCCCTGCTGGGACAGCAACACAGGTCCTGGACCTGGGCCTTATGCTCCAAGGCTAGAGACTAACCATTTTTTCTCCATATTTTATAGCTTTGACAACTATTCTGCCAATGTTATGGTAGATGGAAAACCGGTGAACCTGGGCTTGTGGGATACTGCTGGACAAGAAGATTACGACAGACTACGTCCTCTCTCCTATCCGCAGACAGTAAGGGTCACAGCTGGCTTTTAAAAAATACTTTTTATTGATTTTTAGAGAGGAAGGGAGAGGGGGAGAGAGAGAAACATCCATGTGAGAGCAAAACATTGCTCGGCTGCCTCCTGCTCGCCCCCTACTTGCAATCGAACTGGCACCTTTTGGTGCACAGAATGACGCTCAACCAATTGAGCCACACCGGCCAGCGCACGGCCGATTTTGTAATGTGTTCTTTAGAATGTACAATTCCTGAATGTTTAATTATTGCATATCACCTATGGATTTGCTTCTATTACTATCTTTTGGGTATGTTGAGTAATAGCAAATATATTAGTTCAGTAGTGAAGTACATAGCCCCCTGGATGCAAACTGGAGTTTGGTTTGTGTTTCTTTTTTGATCATTAGCAGTTACTGACTACTGCATTGTGTGTTTTGCATTTTTTCATTTAGTTCTTGGAGAACCCTATGAAATAGGTGCTGTTTTGTTTTTGGAGACCAGCTTTAACAGCAGCTACTTTTGAGGTGATTGGTTTTGTGAGTTTTGTACCAAATGAAGCCGTGAAGATCGTGGTTTCTATAGAGTACATGTTCATTTTCTGTGGTTTTAGTGCCTAATTCTTCTCAGTGTCGATTGAGGATAAAACTGTGACTGGCCACTGTGTTCAGTCAGAAAAACTTAAAATTAGTTTTGCTTATACTTACCAAAGTTAAACAGCTTTGGTAAGAGCAGTAGCTGGTGAAAACATGGTTAGGAGCCAGTGCTCTTTAAGCAAGAGTCCTACCTGTATCATTTGCTTATCTTGTTACATTTTGTTCTTCCTTTTAAAAGTGTATTTAAGAACAATTTTGAGGCTTAGTGTCTAATTGGCAAACACAGTATAGAGGCAGTTAAGCAAATTCCTTGGGTTCAAATCCCGCTTTTCCTCTTACTAGCTGTGTGACCTTGGGCAGCTTTCTTCATCTCTGGTCTTTACCTCTTTCTTAGTAGGGTTAGATGAGTTTATTAATAATAATAAGGCAAAGCACCTGGAACAGTCCTAGGCTTGTGAAGCTGAAGCTCCAGTGTAGCTGCTGTTAGGACTCTTCCTCTTATGCAGATTCATTGGTAGGTCTGGAGACCTCAGTTCAGTCATCCATCCTCTCAGCAAGCAGATGGCCAGAGGGGTTAGGGGTCAGGGTCAGAGAGTCATCTGGAGAAGGCAGGCTTTGATCCTTTGATTGGTTTGTTCTTTGATTGACTTAATCATCACTTTTCCTTGGTGGGCAGTGTGGGTGAAAATAACCAATTAGTTCTAGCCTGTCCAAATTTTGTTTTTTGTTTTTAAATGAACTTCCTGTTCATTAATGATAGTTCTAAACTTCTGAAACAGCTTTTTCCATGCAACAGTCATTGTCTTTTTTATTTGTTTCCTGCTGGAGAAATTGCCAAATGCAGTTTCTTTGAGCTGTAGATTTCTGCTGATAGTTCTTGAGCTGGATTTTGGTAACAAACCAAAACTATAAAATGGGAGGTTTGAATTGCATGATTTCTTAGTTAATCTCCTGCTAAAAATTAACTAAGTATTAAAAACCAGTCAAATCACCAAATGGTTTGAATTCTTCAGTGTGTTTAGGAATTTATTCTGTACCAGTGGATGCTTAATAATTCCAGATGTTCAATGGATTTGCAAATATACTGAGTTAAAGGGTGGGTGGGGTGTCACTCAACGACCTCCTGTGACTCAGAGGATAGGGTGTGGCCCTTTTTTTTTGAGTGATTTTTTTCTGAGAGAGTCACTCACAGTATGTCAAAGGTGACTTGGCAAGATTCCCGCTTTGTGTGCTAAAGAACACATAGATAGCAACTGATTGAATCAGGCTGCAGTGGTGGGGCTGAGATCCCAGGGGCTGCTGGAGTAGGATGTGATTCTTACCCTCCAGTAGCTCACAAGTATTATGTAATACAGTGCACCATGTCATGTACCAGCCGAGAGGGCGAGGGAGGCATTGCTCAGGAGCACAGAGGGAGAGCACCCAGCCAGCAGTACAGATGCCAGCCTGGACTCATTGGAGATAAGGGACGTCATCTTGGCTGCGAGGGGCGGCCCGAGTGCGGAGGTGCCACTGTCTGGAAAGTCTCCTTCCTTGGAGCCAGGCTGTCCTGCCGAGAGGAATAGGCCTTGGAATTTACAGGCTGGCACCATGATTTCTTGTTGGCAAAGGGCAAGAAAACAGTAAACTTGGTGTTGATGGGACATTGTCTCTGGCTGTTGGGTCTTTAGTCTGCAGACCTATTCTTGCTGCTCATCTATGACTGCTCAGACCCACTCTGGAAGGGCCAGTTGGAAGATGTCTTATCTACCATGTCCTAAAAAGAGACATTCTGTTTCCCGTGGCCACTTGGTGCTGGTGTCCTTTGTCGAGTCTCTCTGTAGCTAAGTGAAATCTGTTTAAACCATTAGTTTCTACTTTGTTCTCCAGAAGTTGGTGAGCAAGTAGTCGTCATTTTCAGCATAAATTTCCCTTCAAGTTTTTACATTTTCTAAATTAAGTAATCCTTAGTGCTTTTCTCCCCTTCAATAAATTATCTTTATATTCTCTAAAAATATTTTGTAATTTCTGCATACTCATCCTCAACTGGTGTGCTCAGAATCAAGGTGTGATTGCCATAGTGCTCAAGCCCAACGTCTCGCATTGTGTCCACTCCCCTGCATTTGCCTCCCTGTTCCAGTGTTTAGTCGTGTGAGTGGGAACAAATGAGACTTGCCAGAGTCACATGGCCCAAGCCCTGTGTGTGTTCTGAGAGACCCCACACTGTTGTGGTTGGTTTGCTTTGCTGTACTGGCCTCTCTGTTTGGGTCAGCCAGGACCCTGCTGTGTTATGGCAGTATTTTCATTTTCTGTATGTGTCCTGACTTAAGGTTTTTAAGAACTGACTACATTACTGCAACATTAGATAAAAGGAAAACCCAGTGTTGAGCTGGGCTGTTTTGATTTTCAAAAGGCTTTGCGCTTGGTTTGGCTGGCTGTCGCAGCATAGTATCCTCCATCCAGAGTCAGTAGGAACACACCTCTGGTTGAACGCAATGGGGGCTGTTGCTCTGTCCTGAGGGAGACACACACCTTGGGGGATTGCGGGGTGAGTTGGGCAAAGGCTCAAGGAAGCGGGGATTGCTCTGGTTTGGATGCTGGCAGGAAGCAGGGTAGTTTTGTTGGTAATTTTAGCAAAACCTACCTAGAAGGTGGGGATGAAGTGAGGCTAAAGCTGTGGATTGGTATAGGAGTAGTTACTCTGCTCGGAAGGTGTTTTGTAGTTTGCACAGTGACCTTGTATTTGTGTTTGGACACGATTGTGAAGTGANCTGGGAGGGGGGACCTTTGGTGTTTTGTAGTTTGCACAGTGACCTTGTATTTGTGTTTGGACACGATTGTGAAATGAATGATCTATTTATTTCTTTATGTTTGGTCTCAATTNTGTGAAGTGAATGATCTATTTATTTCTTTATGTTTGGTCTCAATTTCAGCTTGGTCACACAGTGACCTTGGCTGATGGCGATGTTCTGGGAGATTACTTTATCCCACACAAACTTCCCGTGGTGGAGCTGTGGGTGCCACGGCAGCTCCCAGGTGTTGGGGCTTCTTTTCTCTGCCATGCTTATGTACCCTGGTCTTTTTTCTGGTGCGTAGTATGCCTGTATTAATAAAAATATTCCAAGCCTGAAAGTAAAAACCAGGTGGAAAGTATTTGGAAGAGAATAAAGTAAAAGAAAGAAAGGAGAGTGCTTTTGGAGTAGTGAGAGTCCAGAGGTCTGCCCACTTGTTTAGCTCAGAGCAGACTCATCTTTTTGTGACTTGTACCACTGACAGGAAGGACTCTAATGTTCACCAGTGAGGACAGGGTTAGCAGTAGAGGAGCAGTAAAGTCACTGAGGGCCACTGGGCCTGTGTGGGCAGAAATGCCCTGTGGTGTAAGGAAAGTAATGGTCATGGTCATGTCCAGAGGAAAGGTGTCCTGTGATCCAGGACAGCTCAGGTGGACTAAAGAGGCTGCAGAACACACAGATGACCTATGAGGAAGGGAGAGTGTGGCCACACCACAGGTGTCTGTGCTGAGGAGCCCTGTGTGTCACAAGGACAGGCATGTAAATGGAGGAACCCCAGGCAGGGATGAGCGGCGTGAACACTGTGGGCATCAGGGCAGAAAGCAAAGGTCCGAGCATGAGAGAAGATTCCTTAAAGCCACAGTTAGGCTGGGAAGGAACAGGCAAATGGTGTAATGTTAGCATAGGACAGAAAGCGTCTTTCTTCATCAGAAAAGATGTTCTTAAAAACTGAAAAGGGTACGACAGATGTGGGTAGAGGGTATCTTGAAACTGTTTTCGTGGCCAATCCCCAGGAGTCCCTGTATCACAGTGAAGATCTGGCGTCAGGTCAAGTTCTTGGGAGGGCAAATCTTCACAAACAGCCCACAGGTTAAATAGGGTATTTATGGAGACTTTAATGGTCTCTTCAAATTGGAAATCCGAGAAGCTTGAATGAGATGAAATGAAAATAATTGTCTTGTCCGTCTGTCTCTCAAGAGAATTCCAGGGCTCTGTTGCTGGAGAGCAAGTCTTCCCATTTTTATTGGCACAGAGGAATGAATTGAAAGCATTGTGAGAAACACCCAAATGCTGTCACTCTGGGCCGCCTTGTCCAGGTCCACAGGGGGCGGGGATTGAAGGTCTCACTGCAGCAACACTGTTCCCAGAGCCTGGGGAGGAGAGTCCAGCATTTCTGCACAGGCAGGACATTTGTCCTGGTCACAGCTCTCGTCCTGGCCCGGTTCCAGGAGAGCCTTTCACCGTGAGGCCTATTCCACAGACAGGCGCTTCTCTGAGAGCTGTGGCCTCAGCTGGGCTGTGTCTAACAACTTGGATGGAGATCTTTGAAGGTGTACCTGTTGCTAATGGATGCCAGCGGCAGGAAGGACACTATTTAACACTTCCTTGCTGAGCATGAGCTTCCTGGGCGTGTTGTCAGTTCTGCTGGAAAAGGAACTCTGTTTGCTGCCTTGGTGAGAAGGAGTGCCCTGTCTCCCAGGGTTTGCCTACCCTGTCTTCACCATCCCTGAGTCACACAGGCCCCTTGGGCTCCACTCCCAGGTTGGTGGACAGAGTGTTTTGGTGGCTTTGGCATCAGAGACCTGTTAGACCATTACCTGCTGTTAGATCAAAACCTTGGGAGGGTTGAGACAGTTCTGATGAAAAATAAATGACAGGCTGTGTTGATTTTATTTTCCTCCATTTTTACTAAACTCAAACAAAGTTCTCATGCATTACTAGGTTGGAGAAACGTATGGTAAGGATATAACCTCCAGGGGCAAAGACAAGCCGATTGCCGTATGTAAAACTTTCAATCGACTTCAGTTTCAGCTTTATCTGTTCTCTCATTCCTTTTAGTTTTCCTAGGATTTCCTATTCAGCCTCAGTTCCTTGGGTGTTTTTAATTCACTCAGGGTTGGGGTTTTGCTTGAGGAACCATGCTTTTAATAGTGTGACAGTTTACCTTCTAGCTTGAATTAAAGCAGTTCCTCCTCCCAAGTGAAAGGGGGGGGGCTTTTATGAATGAGCCTCTCCCCCTAGGCTGGTGGAGATGGAGACCTGGGGGCTCTGCCAGAAAGCCCACTGCGGGCCCTGAGCTCGGCCGGGCGGTACTAACCAGGGCTGCCAGGGCCTTCTCCTGCTGGTGGTCTGGTGCCGTGGGACTGTCTGGGTGCTGCTGTGCAGGCTGGTGAGCTAACCCCACTCTGCTTTGACATGTCATAATCATCTCAGGTGATTCTTGGACAAGCTTGTGCATGCGCTAGCATTAAACAGTGTTGTTCATGAAAAGGTGTTGTGTGGGGTGTTTCTTTCCCTTTCAGGTACAAAAGCAGCTAATGATTGAAAGTGTTAGCTTGGGAATTGGGCATTTCACAAAGTAGCATAATTGCTTTTTTCCAGGAAAATGTCTTATAAAGTTAGCATTTTAAAAACTGGGGCATTTTTTAATTTAAGTAAATATCTAGACTTATTACACAATGCAGAATGGGAGGGAAAAAACAAATATTTCACTTGTAGCCCAAAATTCTTCCAGGTATTTATTCTGTACCTACCTTTACTTTGGATCTACTTTAGCTACACCTGCCCTGCCCGGGTAGAAGTTTCCCAGAGGCCGAGTTTGAGGGGGGTGGAACGTCCAACAGCAGGAAGATGCCACTTACACAGTAGAACAGCCTCCCTCACAGGGAACGTGTGTGCCGCAGTCCGGTTCTTTGCCAGGGACTCGTGGCAGGTTTTTTTGCTGTTTTTTTTTAAATACATCTTTATTGATTTCAGAAAGAGGAGAGGAGAGAGGAAGAGAGAGAAACATCAATGATGAGAGAGTCATTGATCTGCTGTGGTGGCAGTTCTTAAGCAGTTCAGTTGGAGCCCAGCAATCATCTAAAAATGTTTGTACTTAACACGCAGGTGCGGAGCTTCATGGAAAGCACACCATTTGTAGATAATATTTTGAGAAACAGACCAAGTTTTATAGAAATTTTCAAGTGATGTCTTGACACCTGGTTTCGTCCCAGTTAGGTTCCCAGTGGGAGTTGGGAGTGATGGAAAAGAGGCTTCCCAGGGCTCTGACTTGATGCCTCCACAGCCTTAAGTAACTTATAGCGTATTTTGCCTCCACTCCCCCTTCTCACAGTAGCTGGTTGCTTCATGTGCGGCCCTGGTTTGGGGGCCATCTGCCAGAAGCCAAGGTGTATCTGGGTGCATGCTCTTGACACAGGGTGTGGGTGCACAGTACATGCCCCCTGGTCCGATGGCTTGTCCCCAGCAGCATTTGGATAGCAGAGTGCATTTGTCGCTGTGAGACCATCTCCTAAACACTGCCTTGTGTTTCCTTTTTATAGGATGTATTCTTAATTTGCTTTTCTCTTGTGAGTCCTGCGTCATTTGAAAATGTTCGTGCAAAGGTAAGTGGGTGCTTTTTAGAAAAATATTTTGTTATATAATGTTACTCTCAGGAAGAAACATTAAGAAATAAAAATAAAATACCATTTACTGAATGAAATTTTCAATGACTTAAATTGGTTTTAGTAATTGTACTAAAGTAGGTAATTAGTTTTCTAATATATGACTTCAGTACGTAGAATCTAAAGTTTCAGGTGGATTCAGTGACGTGTGCCTTGTTATAGTAATGAAGCACAGCCGTTGCTTTTCACTCCTGCGTCTTTACAAACGTGGCGAGAATGACACTGAGATGTCCTTCTGTTGGAGTGGTCAGCGGGTGATGATGGCAGAGCAGAGACCTAGGTCTCAGTAGCTGCTTCTCATCCCTGAATTTACAGGGTGGGCAAATGTAGGTTTCAGTTGTGAGTACACGAAGGACTGCTTATTCTTGTGTTGTTATTTACTATGTATTGTAGTGTTTATTTGTATTATAGCTGTAAACCTAGTTCTGCCCACCCCTATATGGAGTATTTTCCGAGACAACCTAAGAACTTGACTCGTTTTACCAAAAACATAGTTTTGGGGAGAACCGTCCCTTTCTCTTCTCCACTCTCTTACTGACAGGTAGTGCCCACCCTGTAGGATTTTAATCTTGGGAGTCCTGCCTTGCTAATCAAACATGCAAGGGTGGTTCTGTGGTCCAGGCTGTCCCGTGGTCTGGTCCGGCAGCCCTGGGGCCCTTGAACGTGTGAATGGAAAGTGTGAGCAAGGCTGGCGTGCAGGTGCAGTTTCCTGCATGGAGGCTCTGTAGGGACCCTGACTGAGGGGCAGTTGACATTTTGTCAGCTGTGTGGATATAACTTGGGTGAAGGAAGCTCAAAAAGGAGAGTGTCATAACTGTTTTCCTTTCTTCGCATCTAGTGGTATCCTGAAGTGCGACACCATTGTCCCAACACTCCCATCATCCTGGTGGGGACTAAGCTTGACCTTAGGGATGATAAAGACACTATTGAGAAACTGAAGGAGAAGAAGCTGACACCCATCACCTACCCGCAGGGCTTAGCCATGGCCAAGGAGATCGGTAGGAACTCCTGCGTCTTTCACGCTTGCTTTGCACGTGCTTTTATTTTCCCGATAGACTGCAGTCCAGTCTGGGAAGTGGAGGGCGTGTTCTTCCAGCTCAGGGTCTGGCTTACTCTTGGGGAACCAGTTGAGCGTGGCCCGAAGTGTTCAGGAGGCGGCAGCGGGGTTAGGGGTTGCTCTGCTGTGCCTCTCCTCCTGCAGAAGGCGGCGGGCCCGGGGGAGCAGCCTCACCCTTGTTCTGATCAGAAACCCAGCCGCGTGGCTGTTAAGAGGCTGTGTTTTTCGGCAGGTGCTGTAAAATACCTGGAGTGCTCGGCGCTCACACAGCGCGGCCTCAAGACAGTGTTTGATGAAGCTATTCGAGCCGTTCTCTGCCCGCCTCCCGTCAAGAAGAGGAAGAGAAAATGCCTGCTGTTGTAAATGTCTGCCCCCCCGCCACCGGCCTGTCCCCAGAAACCTTTCTATGCTTTGCTCAGAAATGATGGAGCCTTCGCACTCAATGCCAAGTTTTTGTTACAAATTAGCTTTTCCATAAAACCATTTTGAACCAATCAGTAACTTTTAGGTTTTATTTAAACAAATAAGTGTAAGAGTTCAAACTTTCACATTCTATTAAAATTTAGCCCTAAAAATGACAAGCTACCTTAAAGCCTTATTTTTCAAAAGCCCCTATTGCTCAGATAAAGAGTTGCCAAAATACCTTGTGAACTAAGTTGCATTTTTGTGCTAAGAACACTAAGCACTAAGCAGTTTAAAGAACTTTGTCTCTAAGAAGACTAGCTTCTGAAGTTAGGGAAGGCAGACGCTTTCTAACGAGTTTCACATACAGGCAGTACAGCCTCCTGGGTGAAATCTTGCCAATTTAATGCATTGATCATTTATCAGCCCATGTTCCTTACCTAACACTGTACTGTATATCACAATGGAATGAGTGTAACAACTCAGCTCTTTGGATCGATCCTTTTGATTTTGTAGTGAGATTTTAAAAAAATTAGTGTATTAGTTTTTGCTGAGATTTTGAACAGAGCTCTTCTTCATGTGCTTCTCTGATGAAGTCTTCTGCTCTCAAGTGGATGTCTTGGGGTGGAGTGTGGGCAACACTTGATGCAATCAGAGGATGAAGACAGTATTTTGACAAAATACGAACTGGAGATTAATTTACACTACATTGTCCACATAAACTGAATGAAAGTGTCACGGGTAAATTTTTAAAGTTAGTTTCTGTCAAATGCAGTCGATGAAGAAAGTCGGTATTAATCAGTAAGTGTTTTCTTAAGATTTCCCTTTTTCGTAAACCTGCAGTCCCTCCCAAAATTGGGCATTCATCTTCGAACTGGTCATTCCCGTAGTTGCTAACTTAGTGCTTTTCTTATAGATCCCCCTCTCAATGAGCAATATGCCTCCTTGTATAAAGTCTTTCTTGATGATGCATTAGTTTTTTGTAGATTAGATGTGCGTTCCTGTTTTCACGTTCTTTATTCAAAGCTAATAAGTGCTTTCCTTAGTTTTCTAGTAACTAGATGTAAAAATCACGTGTTGCATCTTTACAGTTTTTTAAACATTTTAGATACTCTTAAACTATGAACCTTCTTACCACCACTGTCTTGCCAGATCCCTAGCACTGTACCTTGACCAATGCTGCCACACACACACCCCCACCTCCCTGTGTGGACAGCTTCCTGTTGCTCTGCCTAACTGTGCTCCTTGGGTGGGAGGTTCTGTAAACCCCGTGCTCATGCTAATGAAGTTCTTTACAGCTTACCACTGGCAAGGAAACAAAATTGGACCTTTCAACCACTAGAACATTTTTTAAATTGACAGTTGCAGAATTGTGGAGTGTTTTTACATTGATCTTTTGCTAATGCAATTAGCCGTATGTTTTGCATGTATGACTTAATAAATCCTTGAATCATATGACTGGTAATACTTGAATTCTTGAGAGCTAGGTGAACCACCTCATGGTTCATATGTGTTCCACCTCATATATGTGTTCATTTGCCTCACTTTAAATTCCTGGGTTGTTGGAGACGTTCGTTTTCAACGTCTGTTTTCATGCTGGAGGACGTGGGTGAGTCAGTAGACAGTTGGGGTGGTGGTTGGTCTCAGACCTGTCAACCCTTGGTGAGATACACACTTGATGTCCACCTTGGGGCATGTGTGTAGGCGTTGCACGTGCATCTCGGGCTGGGGGGCTGGGCTGAGAATGAGATGCTGGGACCCGAGTTGGCATCTTGGTGGGGCGGAGGCTGACTGACTTTAAGATCCTTTCTGGAGCCTGAAATTGTGCTATAAATAAATCATGTTATAGAATTCATTTTCTAAATATTTTTTTATTGCTTTGGAAGATTGTTTTTTATTTTTGAGTTTCTTTTTAACCAAAGATACACTGTTTAAAGACCAAATAGTTCTAAAAGTTTACTACAAAAGTGGCAGCCTTCCCCTTTACATCCTCCCCAGAGGTAACTACTTTGAGTTAACTTTTTGATATTTGTCTCCATATTTTTAAATCATATGCTTTTTTTGTTTACTAGACCACTGGCTTATTATAAAAGGCTATAACTCAGCCAGACAGAAGAGATGCATGGGGGAAGGGCTCGGTGTTTCCATGCCCTCCCCCAGGGCCATTCTCCCCAAATCTACGTGTTCACCAACCCCGGTTTTTGTGGAGGCCTCTTCACATGGGCAGGACTGAATAAATCTGCTGGTGATTTAGTCAGCTGCCAGCCTCTCTCGGAGGGTCAGTCTAAACCCTGTGCTTTTATTGTCATTGGAGTTTTCAGTTTCAGCCGTTACCAGTGGCATTCCCATCCTGGGAGATGTGTGGGCTCTTTCCAGCTGCATCTCCAGCCCCCAGCACCTTTCCCATTCCCTCCGAATGGTCATTGCGGTTGGTGCTCACGATTTAGTGTCTGTGTTACTCTGTAAGTACTCAAAGCTGAGCCATGCAGGGACAGAACTTGGCCTTTCCTGCATAACTTTTGGCTTCTCTTGAGGTGTTTTATTTAAGGTTTACTTTCCTGTGGACTTAACCCTGGACTTCCATGTTGTCTAAATCTCTCAATGTGTTCACATGTACTGTGTGTTTCATCAGTTTTTACTCTCCTAGTCTCAGGATCCTCTGGGCACCATTTCCCTCACGTGTTTTGATTTTTACCACCTACACCCGACTCTTGTTTTTTAATTTACTTCATTTCGATGAACAGGTTTTCCAAGCACTTCCTGAGGAGTGTGGGAAACGTTTTTGAGCCCTTACAGCTTTGAAAATAACTTCATTCTACCCTAATACTTTTTGGCTGGGTCTAAAATTCCGGGTTGGAACTTCCTTCCTTTCAGGTTTTTGGAGGCCGTTCTCTCACTGTCTTCCGTGGCCATTTCCATTGCACAGGGATACTTTGATTCGCAGCCTGCGGGACTTCCCCTTGACCTTCCATGGCCTGGTTTTATTTTTATCCCTTGTGCTGGGGGGGCCGGGGGGCTTGTTCCATCTGGAAACTCATGGCTTCCGTTACTCAGGTGTCCATTTCTGTTGTCATCGTTCCTGCTTTGAACTTTCAGGTGTTCTCCTTTATCTTCTGTATACCCTTTTCCAGCCTCGGGGGTCAGTTCTGTGGTTGCAGCACTTCCGCTGGCCCAGCCTGTAGCGGGGGTAGTGTGAAGCTTCTCCCGCACCTGCCTCTCCCGGCCGCTTGTTCTTCAAGTTCATGGCAGTCCTGGGCTCGCGCCGAAAGGTCGAGAACCTCACAAGCAGAGACAGCTGAGCACAAAGGTGAGTCTTAGCAGGGCAGTGTTCGCAGTGTGTCTGAGATCTGAGTGTACAGGACTTGTGTGTAGAAATGAAGCTTGTAGCAGTTGGATGTTACCGTGGCATTTCCAGCACAGGTTTTAAATGGCTTGGCCCTGTGAAGGTTTTCAGTGGCCCAAGTAGTCTGGCTGGGACAGCTGAGGCCCAGAGGGGAGGACACGGATCTCTAGGGGTCAGGTTTCCCTGGCGAATTCTTCCTGGAAGGTTCTGGGGGCCAAGTGGGAGGAGGTGAGGAATGTCATTCCCTCGCTTTCCACTGTGCTTGTGTCCAGTCCCCCTGCCCCGCCCAAAGCCAGGTTTCTTCCAGCCTTCAGGTAACCCCTCGCTTTGGCACGTCCCTGTCTGCTTCCCTCCAGCGTCACGTGCAGGGGGTCTGGGTGGTAAAGCAGATTCTGTTTACCTCTAGCTTCTGATTGTCCTGTTTCGTGTGGCTCAGTGGTTAGAGTGTTGGCCTGCACACCAAAGGGCCATGGGTGCGATTTCCCTTCAAGGGCACATATCTGGGTTGCAGGTTCAATCTTGGTCAGGACACATGTGGGAGGCCACAATCGGATGTGTCTCATGTTGATGTTTCTCTTTCCCTCCCTCCCTCCCTTCCACACTCTAAAAATCAATGGAAAAAAATATTCTCAGGTGAAGATTAACCAAAAAAATAAAGTGTTTTGATTGATTTTAGAGGGAGGAGGGAGAAACATCAACATGGGTTGGCTGCCTCCTGCATGTGCTCTGTGAAATGAACCTGTGACCTCTCAGTGTGTGGGACAACGCTCAACCAACCGAGCCAGGGCTGGCTTAGGCTTTTTAAATCCCTTTACTGTCATTTTATGGGCTCTGTGGGGTGGGTGAAATCAGATGTCCGTGCAATCTTCAGCCTGCAGCCACAGGGCCAAGAAGACTAAAGACTTCATTTTGTTAGTGGACAGAAAATGCCATAATGTTCCCGGGAAAACAGGCCTGTGCAAGTGTCCAGTAGGAAGGCACAGCACCACACACGTGTGACCATTAAGCGCTTTATTAACGCCCTCTGAGTCCACTGCCAACAAAAGAGCCAGGACTGTTCACATCAACTGGGTTGATGAGACAAATGGGACACGTAAACAAGGAATGGCTGCGGCTGAGGGGCAGGGGCTGTCTCCACTCACTTTCCTGATCTGGTTTTGTCTCAGTTCTCAATTGCAGCTCAGAGCTGATCTTTAGTGCCACCAGGAGCAAACCCCAGTCTGCACCCTTGCAGCTGAGAACTGAGTTTGTATAGCTGGGAAAATGAGTTTGCTAAAAAACTGCACGCCTGTACGCCAAGTTCAGACTCCTTTGAACAGGGATAAGACAAGACCCTGCCAGTGAAAAGTGGCCTGGGGGTGGGAGTGTACAGATCCAGACCTGGCTGCTGGAGTCCCTGGCAGTTCTCAGGTGCCGGGGATCTGCAGGCCATGGGGAAAGGGGCACCTGTGAAGCTTCGAGCACGTTCAGTCTCAGGAATCCTGTGACCTCTGTGCTCTGCTGACTCCTGGTGCGTTAATACTATGATTAGCATGATTTCTCAGATCAGTCCGTCATTTAGACATCTCAAGCTCAGTGCCTGTCAAACGCCTATCAGTGCACTGTCATCGTGGGATCCACTTTAAGAGCAAGTCACTTGAAGATCAATGGTTCGAGTCTGCAGTCCTGGAAGTTTCCAGTAGCTCTTGATTACACCATGTCCGCATTAGAGGCTCCTGGGGCAGGGCAGGAAATGCACACGGCCCTGTCTGACACCACCCTGTCCAGGGCTTTCATCAGGATGCCTGGTATGTGGTCTGTTAGCATCTTTGGGCTGATGAGTATTTTGCTGAATTCTGATTCATGTGCCCACCTTGCGGAATACTGAGAAGTGTAACAGGAACACCTGAAAGGGACAGACAGCAAAGCTTCACTTGAGCCTCAACTCCACACATGTGTCTCTTTGACGGGTGGTGCGTGGACTTAGCCAGGTGAGGGCCCTGCTGCCCATATCTCACCTGCCTGCAGTGCCCTCTTCCTCCAGGTGGATGATCCTGCCAGGAAGGTAGAGGGGGGGGTACTTGGTGGGGGACCCCAGCGGGGAGTCGCTGGAGGAGCTGTATGCTGGGGACTTGTGTGTCAGCAGACTCTGCTCCCCAAGAAGAGGCTGTGTCAGGTCTTGGTGGTCGCCCCCATCCAGCTCTGTCGGAAGGTCCTCTGGGTTCCCTCCAAACAGCCCATACCAGCACCCGCGCAGCAGAATCTTGTACTAAAGGTGGGACCGAGAAGGCGGCATTCCTGTTACTCAGAGGCTTTCACTTACCAGAGGCCTGGGCCCGGGAGCTGGGACAAGTGCCCGCCATGGATCTCAGGAGTGGCGATCAGTGGGCCTAAACTCAGGTGTCTCTTGGGCAAAGAAGCCACCATAGTAAAAGCAATATTTAAAAACCAAATCATGCAGATTTTGAGAGAAAATTATCCTTAATTCTTTTCAGGTAACTTTGCAAACCAGTTTTACTCTCAAAGACGTTAGATACTATTTTAAATGGGGGGTGGCAGTAGCTGATAAGGAGAAAGTTCACTTAAAATTCTTAGTATTTTTCCGATTAGCAACAAAAATAAAGTCAGAAAACAGGTTAAAAAGAGATCTGAACAAAATGACATTTTGATATATTTTTTGGTCAAAGCTCATCTCTTTTTTTACACCACCCCCGGCCTCGGATCATACCAGTAAGAATTTTTAAGCCTGCCTAATTTTCTTTTAACTTTTCAATACGTCATGGATTGCTTTCTCTATTGGTAATATAAGTTCATGTCACCATTTCTAATGGCTGTGTAATATTTCACAGGACAGACATACCATTACATTATAAACTCTACGTGGCCGACTTATTTTCTAAGTGTTGGTTCCAACGGCATCAGGATACTGTTGGTGACATGACAGGGCTAAGAGGTGCACAGCAAGTCACAACTGGAACAGGGCTGAAAAGTCTGTCTGGCAGCAGCATCGCTGCCCGGGGCTAAGAGGCTTTCAATGTAGAAACATCCTCCCCAGGCCGCACAGACTCCTGTGCACCCTCACGGCACAGCTTACCTTGGGCTTATTACAGTGAGCAATCGCTCGCAAGATTCGCTTCTTCAAATCTTCCATGTTGGCCACACTTAACCTGTTTATCAAAACCAGACTGGGCTCAGTACTCAGTCTTTCCAGCTACCCAACCCCAGATGAAGCACCCGGCAGACTGACCTGGGGATCACATCCTTGCCCAGGACGAGTGACACAGTGAAGTCCTTAGAGTATTCATGAAGGGATTTGCTGCAGTTTCAAACAGGAAAAATTCGTTAAGTTTTCTCTCTCTACCCAAACTTGAAAAGACAACGTGCACCTGCGTGTTCGGTGCAGCATTATTTACAGCAGCCAAGACACGGAAACAGCCTGTGTCCACTGGTGAATGTTTGGATTGTGTGTGTTGTCTACACACACACACTGGATTATTATTCAGCCATAAAAAAGAAGGAAATCTTGCGATTTGAAACAACATGGATGGACCTTGAGGGTATTGTGTTAAGTGAAATAAGCCAGACAGACAAAGTCAAATACCACATGATCTCATTTATATGTGGACTCTAAAAAAACAAGTTCACAGATACAGAGAACAGACGGGGGGCTGCCCCGGGGTGTGGGGGAGGTGGGCAAAATGCATGGAGGGACAAAGGGTAGAAACATCCAGTTATAAACAAATGAGTAGACTATAGCTAACGCTGTAGCACATCTGAAAGTTGCTAAGAGTAATCAAAGTTCTCATCACAAGAAACAATGTGTGATAACAGATGTTAACTAGGCTTATGGTGATCACTGAATCATTCCATCATTCAGGAAATCCAAGCGCTGGTCAGACGGGCCTATGGAAAGCTGCTCAGTCTGACTTCAGCTAAGTGGTGCTGAAAACACACCTGAGGAGGGAAAGTTAAACCACCAGCAACAGACCAGCCTCCCCCCTGTGACCTGTCTGTGGCCGTACCTCAGCAGCCCCCGGGGCGGCGAGAAGGCGTAGCATCTGACCTGCGGGTGCACCTTCCTGAGCAGGATGGCCAGCAGGGCGGCCGCACCTGCTCCCAGGCTGTGCCCCACGATCACCAGCCGGTAGTCCTCGAGGACAGTAGAACGAGGAAAGGTTAGAAAACCAAACAGCTAATGACAGAAAATGAAAGAAAAAAAGTACAATCTCACAGGAGCAATGCTGAAGGCCTGGCTCAAAATCCCGTCGTTGACGAGTCGTCGGTACAGGTATCTGGCAGCTTGAGAAATCCCCTAAAAACGAAGAAGGTGACTAGTGATTGTCAGACAAGGTAGGTCCCATCACAACGACGAACAGGTTTACACTATGCACTTATTTGCGACTCTATGCCCCTAGCAAGCCAGAAGCATCTTGGGCAATGTCCATGCCCACTGCTGTTATATTCCTGGCACCCATCTTTCCTTGTCAGTGGGCATTTCTACAGCGTTTTCTGTAGCTACGTAGAGTTTTGCTATATGGCTGTACCACAGTTTAGTCCAGCCAAGTCCCTGTGGTTGGGCAGATTTAGATCATGAATGGCTGAGTTTTCAAAATGATGCTAAAACAAAGTTCTGAATCATTGACATTGGTTAAACATCCACTGTTCCTGCAAAGGCAAAACAGACCATCAGAAGTGGATTTTAGGGAGGTCAGGTTTTGATTTAATTTCAAAAAAAATGTAGAACTTCCTAATAAATACGGCTATCTCATAGCTTCTTGAAAGTTAAACAGTTCGAATAAGACAGAGACAATGCTATCAAATATATTTTGGAGCGCTTCCTATAGGACAAGGCAGGCCTGGCCGTCCTCGTGCAGCCTGCCCCCGACGGAGGAGGGGGAGCAATTCTGTGCAAGACGGGAGCCTGGCTGGCCACCTCGGAAGCTACTGCAAGTTTCTGATCCAGTAATTCTGTGAGTAGAATGCTGATCCCGGCCTTAGAAACCAAGAGAAGGCTGGAAGGGTGGACCATCTTGGGCACAGTCTCAGCACTTCCTGACAAACCACCTAGTTCCCCTTTACTCCATGCAGTCAACTTCCTCCAACACTATGAGGCACCTATCAAGTGTCTGATTCTGGGCAGTTGGAGCCAAACAACTTGGACCACAACTGCTGCTGGTGTCTCCCTGGCACATGCCTCACACACACAAGATGCCAAGACTGTTTTCAGCCGCAGAGCTTTCAGCTCCAATTACTATGGACAGTGGCAAAGCCAACACTTGGTACAGCTGAAGCTAAGAGTAGAGGACAGGTCATGGCCTTCTGCCTCGGGCAGGTGGCAAATAGCCAGGCCCTAAGTGCCCCAGCTGTGGTCACACATTGACCTGTGGGCAGGTCCTATAGGAACCGAGGTGCAGCCAAGCCCAGCAGACTCTGGTTGGCTGGTTGATGTGTCTATAAGTTTTAAAAAATTTTTTCATACACACCCACTAACAGTTAATCTGGACTCTTCCATGAATTTAGGCACAAAAAAATAGCTAAGGGTTAAAGGGAAATAATTCACGTTCCCAGGACTAAGCCCCCCTCTGTCTCCTTGCTGGAAGTTGTCCAGGCAGGGCAGCTGCACTCTTGCTGTGAGACATGTCTGTGTAACAGGCATTTTATTTAAAAAATGATTACTACTGAAGTAATGTGTTTTAGTTGAAAACACATGAGGTGTGTAAAACAGCACAGGCCCACTGCCCTGCACCCGATAACCTGACTGACGTGACTTCAGGCTCCCCTCAGATGTTAAAACCCTCTGCTCTGTGGCCTCACTCGTCATCAGGGAAACGCACATGGAGACCAGTGAGAGGCATCCACAGCTACCCACCCCACAGGGTGAAGAGAAGGAAGTCTGGCTGCAGAGGAGCGGGAACTTGCCCATGTCGCTGGTGGGATGTAAAACGGTGCTGTTGGGAAACTGCAGGTTCCTCAAAAAGTTAAACAGAAATACCCAGCAGCCCCACTCCTGGGGCCACACCCAAAAGGAATGAGAGCAGGGACCTGAGCAGGTGCCTGTGCCCCCACGTGCCCAGCAGCATTACTCACTATGGTCCATCTCTGAATAAATGGATAAACCAGAGGGTGTAAGTGCATATGCAGCGGAATACTCCTCAGCCCTGAAAAGGAAGGACGTTCTGACAACGGCTACAGCGCGGATGGACCTTGGAAACATGCTCAGTGAAACCAACCAGTCACGAAGGGGTGAATACTGTGACTCCCCTTGTATGAGGTCCCTAGGCAACCAAGTTCATAGAGACTGGAATGGTGGGGACCAGGGGTTGGGGCAGGAGTTAGGACTCAATGGCACAGTGGTGCTGGGATGACGAGCTCTTCGGGGCATAGAGAGTGGTGATGGACACACCGTTCTGAATGGCTAACGGCAGTAAAGTTACACTTCTAAACAGTTAAAATGAAAAGTACTGTTGTGGACATTTAAAACTGTTGGGGAGGAGGTCCCCCGCCCCCAGCACAGGACCGAACAAGACCAGGGCTGCGCAGCGTCTGCAGGGGCGGGGGAGTGCGGGGCGCTGAGGTGCGTTTCCCACCATGAGAATATATTCTTTTGATGACAAGGGAGGAAAACGTTCTGCAGGTTCAGAGGCCGACTCTTGACACGTATTTCAGGAACCATGAGCCTTGTGGTAGGTGACTCAGTCACTCTGAACTTGCCTCTCACAAATACTGCCCCACCAGCAGCTGACAGGCTGTCCCGAGAGCCTGCACTGTAAGCACGAAAGCACCCACTGTGTGCAGCACCAGGCCTGGAGCAGCGATTTGTTAGTAGATCTGAATTAACAGGAAACTCAGAATCAGGCAATTCTGACCCTTCACCTGAGCAGAACATTCCAAATCCCGGAGCCCAGGGCTCCTACCTTATGTGCCACACAGTCTTGCACCTCACACTCTAGGTCCAGGGTCTCACTCTCTGCTGACAGGTCTGTAAGGATGTCCTGTAAAAGAAAGTTGGGAGAAGAGGTGTCAGCTGGGTGTCGTGCACTGTCAGTCTGGGTGGCAGGTTGCTCTGAGGAACAGCTGGGATGGCAGTCTCCTGGGTCAGACTGCTGAGACCCAAACCTGTGAAGCTGAGAACTCAGGAGACAAACCCAGGTGGCCAGGTAGCTCCTGAGAGACCTGTGGCACGCCCAGCTGGGCCAGGCATGAACAACAGAGCGGGGACCTGGGACCTGTCCAAGACACACCTCTGTTCTGCCTCATTGCACACATCTAAGTACCACAGCATCTGTGAGCCCTATGCTGGGGCTCAGCCAACAGCTCACTGAAAAGGGAGCAGAGTAAACACTGCAGGGCAGGGGAGGCTTCCTGGAGGAGGTGGCACCTGAGCCAGAGCTTCAAGGAAAAGCTCTTTCAGGAAGCAGAAGAGAGGCAGGCAACCTCACCCAAGGGCAGGGGCAGGACCCAAAACAGGCATCTACATGGGAAGCAGGTGGTAGGCCAGCCTCATGGGAACCCAGCAATGGACATGTCACGGGAATAGGGCAGAGAGGTGGCCTGTGGGAGGCGGGTGTGTCCCCAGGACTCAGTGAGCCTGACCGCTGGGGGAGAGGACCCATATCTACACTGGTCACAAAGCTGCACAGATGACAGGCTGCCTGGCTGGCACCTGCTGGCCTGAGCTCCCAGCGCCCAGGGGCTGGAAAGGCAGGCGGGGTCAGGTCATAAAGCACCAACAGGGCTGTGCTGAGAAGCACAAACCGTGTGGAAAGCAGTGGGAGTCTGGGTTTTCTGGGCAGTGGTTAAGACCTGACCCAGGTTCTGGAGAGTGACTGTGGACAGTGTTCAGGACAGATTGGGACAGTAGGAGACTAGAGACAGGACCAAGCACAGGCAAGATAGACCTGGGACCAGAGTGAGGGTGGTGGTGGTGTTGGGAGTGGACAGGAGGTGGCCAGAAAGGCAGGCCGGGCAGCACTCCACGTACGACAGCCTGGGCAGGGAGTGAGGAGAGAAACTGGAGACCCCGTCACCATGTCTTCCGTGGGTGAAGGGAGGACACCACGTTGTTAGTAGAAATGGGCCAGATGGAGGAACGGGTGGGGAGGGAAGGGCTCTGGCTTCTCTGGTCCCTGGGTGGACCCAGATGGCTCCAGGAGAGGCAAGCACTGTCCTGGCCACCAGCCGGGCTGCACGCTGTGCCCCACAGAGCCCAACAGAGGGCGGAGGGAGGTGGAGGCTCAGTCTCACTACATTTTCTGGGTCAGTAGAGTAGCAAGAACCAGGCAATGAGACAGGAGTGGCCAAGAGGCCAAAGGACATGAAAAACAGAAGAAAGTCACCCAGCATCTCCGCAGGGCAGAGGGGTTGGGCATGGGCGGATCACGGCTAGGGAGGGAGGGGTGGTGGGTCTCGCAGCACCTGGAGAGCGGGCCCCTGGGCGCCGGCAGGCCCTGGGCTGAGATCCGTAACAGGAACTCAGGAGCCCGAAGGGGGTGCTGACAGTACTGCTTAACTCACTGTCCCTTTCTGGCGCTGGGAGTAAAATATTCCAGGGGAGGATTACCCAGGTTGGGGTCCAGAACAGACACATCCAGGGAGTCGAGCAGGTACCCCTGTAGCAGTTCTTTAAGCAGGGACCCACCCACTGGCGTCTTTCTGACATTTCTCAAAAGGAAATAAGGTCACCCATCTCTCACGAGCCTGCACCTGCTCCCGCATGTCCCTCCAGTGTTTTCCTGAGTCTGACGCAGGAACTCAGGAGGCTTTCCTCAGTTCCCACTGAGGGCTCCCGGGCATCTGCGGCCCCTCGTTCCCAGGCCTATTGGCTCCTCACCTGCAGAGACATGGTTCCTCGCACAGCCACCACAATGCACTCTTTCCTGTGATCCAGGGCCACCAGAAAGGGGAGCTCGAAGACCTGCAGGAGAGGAGCAGGCAGGAGGCTGAATCAGGGCACACACCCGCCAGGAGGGCCAGCTCTTCCCGGGACCAGGAGAGCCTGTCCCACTGCGTGGGGCCTGACTGCTCCCACTCTCTGTATGTGACAGGCCTTCACTCACATGGAAAAGTCTGTTTTCCTTTCCCACCTTTGCCCCACCACGTGCTGCACGGTGTAGGGGCCACAGTCTACCTGGGCCTCCTTCACCTTAGCCCGGCATCAGCAGGGTCCGGGTTAAGCCCAGCTCTGCGGTGACTGACTAGAAGTTGTCCCTCTGGGTCAGGACCAACAGCCACTGTTCACCAATGACTTCAGGTTACCCTCGGGGTGGAGTGTGCACGTGCGGGGGGGCGGTGGTGGTGGTGGTGGTGGTGGTGTGGTGTGTGTGTGCACCTCAGGGGCAGGACAGAGCCCTTCTCCATGAAATGTGAGCAGTAAGAGGTCTGGGCCAGGTGGGCATCACTTCCACCCAGCACCAAGCACAGGTAAAGCTGGAGCCCCAGGCTCCTATCTTTGGAGCCAGTCTTGCGAGAACACTGAGAGCCCCAGTCCTCTGGGTCTGCTCCCTCACCTCCCAGAGGATATAGCGGCCCAAGCCCCACAGGCTGGAGTGCAGACCCAGAGGGCCCGGCTCGCGGACGGCCATCAACCAGTGACAGCAATACTGGGAGGGCGGCCGCTGGTCTGTGGTGAACAGTTACACATCTGGAGCAAGCAGGAAGGAAAAAATTGCTGCCTGTTCTTCCCCAATTTCCACAGGAGAGGAACATGAGCCGGGACCCCACTGCCAGGGACTCAGTTCACTGACCTGGTGTGGCCTGGACTTTGGGGATGTGGAAGCTCCCAGGAGATCTATGAGGCAGCACATTTGAGAACCACTGCACTAGACCACATGACAGTCACTTGGAGAGCTGCGAGCCCACCAAGGACAGGTCGCAGAAGCTGGACAGGGGGCTCCTGTAGGGTCACCAACATCTTCAGTGCCCCCAGTCCCCTCCAGACTGCACCAGGCCACTATGGATGGGCTCAGATCCAGAAACCAGGATGAACTACCTCCAGATACTGCTGTGGGACCAACCCCACCACCACCCACTGTTCTGAAGGATGGACCGTGTGAAGGCAGCGTGGCAGCTCTGAGGGAGGCTTTCTGCCCCATCTCATGTTAAACCTGTGTGGGCTCTGGGGGTTTGAAAAGCCCCTGAAACGATACACAAAACCTGGGGGAGAGTGGGTAGTATGTGTCTGTGTGCATTTTCTGGGGGGAATGATTCATAACCCATCAGAATTCAAAGGCCTCCAGGACCCTGAAGTCGGGAAGCACTGTGACACTCACCTTGTCGTGGAAGCTTATGTGAATGAAATCCCGGTACTGCAGCCCCGTTATCCGCAGGATGGAACCAAAATGGCAGTGGAGCTGCTCGCCTCCAACCAAGTCATATTCTGTTGTCCTGCTTCTGCAACTAAAAACACAGCCACCTGAGCCGCTCACCAAGGGATGTCAAACCCGTCTTGCTTCCCAGCAAACATGAGGACCAGAGCGTACAATTTTTAGGACTCAGTCTGGCGAACGTACAATGGCCTTTAAAGGGTATTATTATCTCTGTGCATGCTTCTTACTAGAGCTTTGACTTCTGGGTTCACGTGAGCACTTTACATTTTTTTAATTTTTTAAATTTTATTATTTTTTAAATATATCTTTATTGATTTCAGAGAGAGGAAAGGAGAGGTAGAGAGAGAGAGAAACATCAATGATTAGAGAGTCATTGATCGGCTGCAGCCCACAACCCAGGCATGTGCCCTGACTGGGAATCGAACCCTGATCGCCTGGATCCTAGGTCGACGCTTAACCACTGAGCCACGCCCGGCCGGGCAGCACTTTACATTTTTAAAAAATGAATCAAATCAGCAAGGATGGCCCAACTGACTGGTGTGGCTTAGTGGTTGAGTGTCAACCCATGAACCAGGAGGTCACTGTTCGATCCAGGGTCAGGGCACATGCCTGGGTTGCAGGCTTGATGCCCAGTAGGGGGCGTGCAGGAGGCAGCCGATCAATGATGTTTCTCACTCTCATCATTGATGTTTCTATCTATCTCTCTCCCCTCCTTTGCCTCCTCTCTCTGAAATCAATAAAAACATTAAAAAAAAAAAATCAGCAAGGATGAAGAAACTCTAAAATCACCAGTAACAGGACAAACTGGCACCAGGCGTCTCCCACTGTGATGCACCCAGAAGGACACAATGTTCCTCACAGTGTTCCTGCCAAAAATGCACAGCCTGACTCTAATCACAAACCACCATCAGACAAATGCAAACTGAGGGCCAGTCTACAAAACACTGGTGACCCTTTTCAAAATGTCAGTATCATGAAAGATAAATGACTGAGAAACTGCTTCAAGTCCAAAGAGACTGAGGAGACGTAACCAAATGCAACACAATCCTGCGTCTGGGGGAAACGACGACAGGAATGTCATTGAGTCAACTGGAAAAAGTTGAATGTGAGTTGTAAATGAGCTAACGATGATGATAAATGCTGAGTTTTATCACTGTCCTGCAGTCACATAAGAGAATGTCCTTGTTCTGAAGAAACCCAGCTTGAAGCAATTGGAGATAAAGGGACAGACGTCTGCAACTCTCTCCAACGTTCAGCGGAAACTGCACAGAGAGCACACAGCACGTATGACTGGAACGAGTCAACGGTGACAATGCTGAGGGAGGTGCCAGAATTCCTGGTGCAGCTCTTGCAGCTTTTGAAATATTTCAAAACGGAAAGTTTTTTAAAAGGGGAAGCAGGATTATTTTTAGAAGAGAACGTATGGGCACCGCTGCAAGAGCCGTCTAGAAGGAAGTGGAGGCCGAGCCCCTGCCTACCTACCAGTCTCCCCCGATCCTGCACAGCCCCGTGAACGGGTTTCTGTAAATGTAGAGCGGCCACCCGTAGGCAGCTGCTGCAAACTGCATGTAATGTCGGCAGTTCTCCAATTCTGCATCCAAATCATCTTCCTGCGGAAGGAAAACAGCTGCTTGTTCAGGGGAACCCAGGCCGGAGAGGACCCACACACGAGACCCTAAACCTGAACTAGAGTTCCTCTTCTCCCCTCCTCTGCTCACTGAATGGACCCCTCAGGACTCCCACAGGGAAAGCTGGTCCTTAGACACAGTGGGAGGTGGACCCCTCGTTTTACAGGAACGCAGCGAGTGCAGCGGGGTGACAGCAAACATCCCTAAGGACTTCCCTGGCTCCTGGCGCAGTGGGCCACCGACTTCCTGCCCAATGCAGGCAAGAACAGCAGGTTTTCACGCCACTGCGACCAACCAGCTGGGAACTAGGAGCCTGGATGAGGCGCAGGGGAGCACAGGCACCTATGTGGGATGTTCTTCAAAAGCATAAAGGCCTGTGGCAGGAAAACTCTCATTACTCAAAGCTAAGCTGTTCCTGCTCCCAGGCCCAGAGAGCAAGCGCGTTACCTGGGGAGAAGCAGGCCCCACCCCAGGAGGGGTTTTTGAAACCAGACTCACAGCTCGTTTCCTAAGAGAATGCTTGAAGCTACAGGGGATGGCGACGGGCCAGGAATGGGCTGCCTCGACCTCACTCCAGGTGGCGATGAGCCGCTGCACCCGACAGGTGACAAACCGCAGCCCACACGAGCCACAGGTCTAATTCCGAGCCAGCTGTTTGTTGTTTTGTTGCTTAGGTGTTTTGTTGTTTTTCTTTTGAGAAGATTTACAAATGGGTGTCAACGTCAGAACTGTGGGACCCGACAGAAGCCTGGGCTCACCTGGGAGGAGCCGGGGGGATGGCTGACCCCCTCCTGCTCCTGGCTGCTCCTGATGCTGCCCTGCTGTTGGTGGAGCAGGGTGAGGCCGGCCGCAAGGTCGCTGGGCACCAGGTCTGTGTCCTGGAGGGAGGCCACGTGGCTTGTCGTCAAGCTCAGCAGGAACTGCCCATGAGCTCTTCACAGTTTCATACAGTTCACGTGCACGCACACGTGCGCGCATGTGCACACACACATACAGTTACATGTAAAAAGGTGTGTTAGGAAGCATTTTCCTTTTGGGACTCCTCCTGTCTCCGAGCTCAGTGTGTTCTATTATCCTGCCCTGAGACAAACCCACCAGGAACACAGACCGTGTGGCTCTCCATTTTTAAATTTCCCTCAAGTAACAGCTCTTCATGCCTATGTCCCATCCTTGATGAAGGGGGAGTAAGGGGTAAACCTGCCACTTCAGCAGCGACAGTGCTCTTAGCCCAGGTTTACACTCTCAGTGCTCAGGATGCCACAAAGGTCCTGGAAAGTCTGTGACAGGATCCGTGAGACTGGACTTCACTCACTGGGGACAGCCAGCCTCAAAAAGGACCATGAACTGGGAAAGCAGCTGAGTGGTCTCCTGAGCCTGACTTTCCCCTCCCTTCCAGGAGGGCCAGTGAGCAGGCAGGGTCCCCGCCACCCGCAGGCACTTCTGGTCTGTAAGGAAGGACCAGGTGCTGAGCACTGAGCTCTGCCTGTGACACAGGTACGACATCTTCTAAGAGGCAGATTCTCTCCTTCCTTCCTCCGCTGTCTCAGGACGGGTTGAAGCACTCCTCTACAATGACTTAGGGGACACACTTCTCTAATCCCCACAGAGGCTGTTGCTGGGCACGGGGCCAGCCCTGGACAGGCAGTCGGACCACAGGGAGCTGAGGAAAGGATCACAAGCACGTGGGATGTCAAGAGAAGGCCTCTCCCTGACTTGCTCTCAACAGTGAACAGAAGAGCAGTTTATTAGAGACCATTACATGAAAAGACACATTAAGTGTGAAAGAAAAACGAGTATTTCCAGGTCACTGAAGAAAAACCCCCTAGGGCGGTGACGCCCTCCTGCATGGTGACTGTGGACTCAACTCTCCAGGAGGAGCAGGATCGGTCGTTTCTAACGCCTGTGCCTGGTGTCTGCTCAGTGCCAGCTGGTGGGCGGGCTTGAAAAGGTAATTGGTAAATTATTCCCAAAATGTACAGGTTCCTTAAAAGCATATTCAGTTCGTTACAAACTAATTTGAACTCTCGACACTAATGAACAGGTGTCAACACCAAGAGGCACTGACCAGAGGGGCAGGGTCTGCAAACACAGGGCCCCTGGTTAACGACCCCTAGAGTGCTCAGTGCTCCTTTCAGGAAGCAGTGTCGCCTCCACCCCCACCCCCAAGATTACCTACCCTCAAGAGCTATTTTTTGGCAGCCAGGGGACTAGCTAAAAGTGCAGAGTCCTTGTCTTAACGTAAGAAGCATTCGCTCCAAGAGGAGAAAGGGGCAAACCCAGGCCCTTCGGCTTACTGAGAAGTAGGTCGAGAAAAGCTCTGCTGTGCTCATAAAAGCCATCTGAGTGTGGTCATCCTTCCCGACGCAGCAGCACAGGAGCTTGATTCTGGTCTCCCACACGCTCCTGGCTGCTGTCTTGAGGCCACTGAGAATCTGGCTCGACTCGGGACTGTCCAGGAGGCTGGGGCCAGCCGAGGAGTACCAGGCCACCTTCCCCCCGAGCGGGTCAAAGACGATGATGATGGTGATCACAGTGGAGACGATGATAATCCAACTGCAAAACAGAGAGAGCAGGCAGTGACCGGGTCCTGCAGCAGAGAGCAGAGCCTACGGCTCCCTCCTGTCACTCCAGTTACCCAGGAAGATGCAGCTCTCCCAGAACCTGGGCAACTTGTTCTAGAAAGTTCATTGTGAGGCCTCACAAAATCAGAGCTCTTAGAGTAAAGATCACAAAAGAGCCCTTGCCGGTTTGGCTCTGTGGTTACAGCATCGGCCTGCAGACTGAAGGGTCCTGGATTCGATTCTGGCCAAGGGCACGGACCTGGGTTGCAGGCTCAATCCCCAGCCCCAGCTGGGGTGCGTGAGGGAGGCAACCAATCGATGTGGCCTCTCACATCAATGTCTCTCTCTCCCACTCTTTCTGAAAAAGCAATGGAAAAAATACCCTCAGAGCAGGTTAAAAAACAAACAAAAGAAAAAATGAGCTTCTGTGGGCAGAGCTGTGGCCCCCTGACCATGACCCAGGCCCTTGCTCCTCAGGGCCTCAGGGTTCTTCTTGGTAAAACCAAAAGAGTGCAGCCACAGCGTGGGCACCCTGATAGGTCCTGCGTACAGATGTTTAAACGGTTCTCGGCTGTCCACGGTGCGCAGAGCTCTGGGCTCATGACCACATGTGCTGCAGGAAGACAGACCTCAGAGAAGGGGCTCTGCTGCCCGTGGTGGTGAGACCCAGGAGAGGCACCATCAGCACAACTGTCCATGTCCTTGTTTATAGCACAAGGGATGTAACTAGATCATTTCAAAAATGTTTAGCGAGTGAAATGCAAAAATCCTGTCCTAGTGTATTGCACTCTGTCTAGTGCACTCCCATCCTGCCTCTGGTGGCTGCCCATTTTGGCCTTGGGGGTCTCTTCCTTTGAGAACAATGAGAGCCGGTAAGAAAGAAAACTCCACCGATAACTGCATAATGGAAGGTGAGCTGTCTCACGTGTGAACAGGTGCCTCTACGTTTGTACCATGTCCTCATAAAGGCTGTTTCTAACTTAGGAAGCCTGCGTGATGCCCGGCTGTCTAGTTTCTCAGGAGGGTCTGTTTACCTACATCTCAGGTGCATCTGTGACAAGAAGCTGAAGAGACAGCGGGAAAGCTCACCTGACCACGACGGTTGCGATGATGCCAATCACAACGACCCTGTTGCACTGAAAACTGTCTGCTATCCAGGCAGCCCCCAGAGACGCCCAGACCATCTCGGGCAGAAAGAGCGCGAGGCGGACGTAGAGCAGCTTGGACATAGACTTCCGTGGCCCAGGGTTGCAAATGGTTCCTGAAACACAGGAACACCCGAGCTGGTCGCCTGCTCCCTTGGAGGTTCCTTTTCTACAAAAGCACAGCACCCTACCTGGTGTTGCTCAGTGGTTAGAGCATTGGCCCGGGAATTAAGGGTCACGAGTTTGATTTTGGCCATGGGCACACACCTTGGTTGCAGGCTCAATCCCCAGCCCTGGTCGAGGTATCTGAGGGAGGCAACCAATCAATGTGTCTCTCACATCAATGTTCCTCTTTCTCTCCCTCTCTTCTACTCTCTCTGAAAAGCAATGGAGAAAATAATCTCTGGTGCTCACCCCCCACATGACCATTTCTACTTGTGATTGGTCATCAATGCCTAAAATTGAGAGGAGACAAAGTAAGCGATGGGGACTGTGACAGGAAGCCTCAGCTTCAAATTCTTAGACTTTCCATGGTTTAAAAACACTCGGGTTCTAACTAGGGTGACCATACGATTATCTAAATTGGGATACTTTTGAGGCAAACAGAGATAAGCAGTTACCCAAGTTCTAACAGCGAAGAAAATGAGCTCCACCACCTACCTGAGCCCTCTGTCATTCCAGGCACCATCCTCAAAAGGACTGTGAGAGTCACCATCCCACTTTACAAATGAGGAACCTGAGGCACCGAGAGCTTAGAAGCCACTTTCTGAAATATAACCCATATCCATGACCCCGGCTCCCAGCCTCCCCAGTACCCCCGTGGCCCTCACTTCTGGGAAGTGAGCAATTCTGATGCTCAAGACCCACTTAAAGAAGCTGAACATTTTAGACACAATATTCTTACCGTGTTTGTAAAACAAATCCCAGTATCAATAGGGGCCTGTGTGCTTTAACTCTTGATGCAAAACATCAACCCTCCTCCTTTGGGAAAATGTTGTGATAAAAACACTCATTTACGTAACACAAAAATACCGTATGATCAAAACAAATACAACAAATCTAAGCTCTAAAAAATGATGTGGTAAGGAAATCGATTTCAAATTCCAAAAATAATCTTCCATTAGAATGAATTACGTAGAGTCACACTTTAAAATACTGGACACTATCGGGCCTCATTTTGGGCACAAAGACAAAACCTTACAAGGGAAGTGAATGGGCACCCTCTCCAAGGGACAGTGATGCAGCATGAAAAAAACCAGTCTATATCTGGAGCCTGTGATTGTGTAACAAAAGCCAATTGCTGGAGAGAAAAACAGGAATTAGCATCTGCACACGCCCACTGCTTCCTGAAGGGCTGGGGTCCCAAATAAGGGACCACCCCAATACCCAGCCCCGGGATCTGAAAGGCAGCCTACTGATGCTGCAAGAATAAGACTAACACATAAAGAAGGGAGCAGGAAATGGAGTTCTGGTCACGGTTCCAGAAAAGGAGAAAGATACTGAGAAAGTCCCCTTTACACAGTGAGGTCTGCCCAGAAAAGCACTTTTATCTTACTTAGATATTTTTTTTCTTCTCAAGAGAAAGCATTGCTGGTGTGGCCTGGCTGCTGCAGAGGGTGTCATGAGGCTGTGCCTCGTGGTTAACACGACAGCAACACCCTACGTCCAAGATAATCTTGGTGAAGTAACTACTGTCCATCACTAGGAATAGCCACTTACGTAAGGGCTACAAAAGGAAGGCCTATGTCACAGAATCCTTGGATTCAGCACCTCCAGCCACTGTAGCAATCTTCTCTGGCTTGAGATGAGCAAGGAGCTTAGGAGATGCAAATGCCAAGGAGATGCTTGATCCAAGAATCAGAATCAGACACGGTGCATGGCAGACCTCGCATGGCCAGGGTGTTCCACCAAAACGTGGTAGTCAAGAGGGTGGACCTTCCCTAACTAAACCTCCCACTTGGGCGCATGCTCCCTCCTGGAAGGCCAGAGCTTTTTCCCTCCCCCTTTCCTCATCCCCAGGCACCTAACCTCTGCCTTTCCCCCTCCTAAGCTCCAAGGACCCTTCTTTTGCTTCTGTAACTTGTCTCCTGAGCCCACGCAGCCCAAATGGCTCACTTCTACCTCTGTAACTTTTTAAATAAACTTTCTCTTATAAATTTGAAAAAATAAATAAATAAACCTCCCACATAGTAGGAACAGTAGGATTTCATCAGGGAGGTTCTCAAATCAAAACTAGAAGCTGCCACAATGATACCAAGATTCCTCCCAACTAAGCTACGTAGATGACCAAGAGACAGAGGACAAACAGGAAAATACACATCCTTTGGTCTTTTGGATAAAAATGACTGCATTCCATTTGTTCCATACATGCTCTACAATGTGCGGTGTTTCTTCTAGAGATCAATCAAAAGCTAAATAAACATGGTCTTTCTGCTCAAAAGAGATAAACTACTGAGATGACATTAACAGAAGGGGCGATGGAATTCCTCTACGTATAGAAAAAAGTTGCAATGTTCTGCCCCTTGGTAGAGTGGAAATCTTTCCTTATCTGTCCAAGCAGGTCTCATTCTTTGTAACAGGTGCCCAGTAAACCATCATATAAAGGAATTACACTTTACCTAACCAATGGCCCACTGACAGGCACTGAGTCTGTTCCAACCTTTCGAACCTATAAACAACACTGCAGTGACGTCCCTACAAGTATTCTGCACACATTCAAATATATAGGAAAAGATGCATTCACACACACACACACACACACAGCCAGACTGGGTTTCTGAGAGGCTCAGCCAAATGACATTCCCACCAGCAAAATGAGCTGCTTGTCTGCACAGTCTCACAGACTCCATGTACTATCTAGGTGGGTTTTTCTTCCTGTGACTGAGGCTGAACAATGTGAATGTTATTTATGTTTAACTGTCCATGATCTTTGCCCGTGTTTCTCTTCTTTCTTATTTATCATAAAAGCCCTTACAATGAAGGAGATTGGCTCTAAGCTCATGCGTTACAATATTTTCCCCCATTTGTCTTTTTTTAAACTTCTTTCTTTAAAATGCTGTTTTCAACTCAGCTGTGATCTCTCTCACCACAAGTAACAGAAAATCCAACTCAAACTGGCTACAAACCAGGAAGCCCTGCCCTGATGTGAGCAGGACAGGCACCATGGCTCTCTGTGCTCCCCACCGCTCCAGCCTCCTTTGTGTGTCGGCTCCTCCTGGCCTGAGCGCAGCAGGAATTCAGCAGCTCATCCAAGCACAGCATCATCCAGAGGGAATGCTGTTCCCAGGGGAGCAAGGAAGGACTTCTCCACAACTTCCCAGTACATCCCTGAATGTAATGGCCCCAGTCGGGTCACATGCACATTCACGAACCAATCACTGGCTCAGGGCCAGCTTGGTATGCGGAGGGGTGGGTGGATGTCCTGAATCAAACTAGGTTCTGTTTGGAGGAGGCTGCTGGGTAGGCCACGTGGTGCCTGGGTGAATATGGCATCCATCCCAGCGGTGTGATGGGCACTAACACACCCAAGACTATCTGAAGGAAAACATTTCACAAGAAAAAAACTACTTATTGCTTCACATCTGAACCCACAATGACAGCTGTAAACATGGCGTATGAACTAGAATGTGACCCGAACAGAATGGGACCAACCTCAGGACTGCATCTTTCAGAAATTCTGACCCACTAACAATTTCATGATGCCACTCAGGCCACATGCACACATTCTATCCCTCTCTTCACCTCCAGCCCCAGCGGCAGTACAGACACGGGGGCTGACACAGCCACAGAACCAGGACCTTCTTTGGTGCAGACCCCAGACTTGTGTTCTCAGAGCTCTTATTTTCTACAGCTTACTCTAGTCAGTGGGCACAGGCCATGCTTCTTGGTCACCCAAACCCTAGTCTTTTTCCCATGAAATACTCTGCCCCTAACACTTTTCTCTATACTGCTCCCCTTGAACTACCATTTTGTAAGCTTCAGTCTATCATCCCAAAATGCCAAAGTCTCACCTCTGTCACCCACTCTGTCAGCTACACCTCCCAGTTTCGTCATCATCTGCAGTCTATAAGCATGCCTCCTACATCCTGATCGGAGCAGTGATAAAACCCGGAGCCACGCTGTGCAGTGGCAGCCCTGCCTCTGAAGAGGAGTCTGTTTACTGGTGCATTGCTTTGTCAGTCACCAGAGCACTCAGCTCATCCTGTGAACCTGGGACGGTTTCCCTCATCTTCAGCTAAGTGGCTAAATGCAGAGCATGGTGACATGCAGGAAAAAAATTATCATTAAAAATAGACGTAACTCTGGCAATTCATTAATGAAAGGACGAATAACCCAATTTAAAACTGGGCAAAGCATCTAAATAGGCATTTCTCCAAAAATGATACACAAATGGCCAATAAGCATAGGAAAAGATGATCAGTATCATTGTCACCAACGAAATGCAAATCAAAACCATGATGAGATAAACATTCCACTAGGATGGCTATGATCAAGAAGTCATATAGCCCTGGCTGGTGTGGCTCAGTTGGTTGGAGTGTTGCCCCATGCACTGACAGGTCACCAGTTCAATTCCCAGTCAAGGCACATGCCCAGGTTTCAGGCTCAATCCCCAGTAGGGGTGGATCCCCAGTAGGGATGTGTGCGGGAGGCAACCAATCGATGTTTCTCTCTCTCCCCCTTCCTCTCTCTAAAAATCAATAAAAACATATTTTTTAAAAAAAGCCCTGGTGGGTGTGACTCAGTGGTTAGAGTGTCGGCCCACAGACTGAAGGATCCCAGGTTTGACTCCCGGCCAAGGGCACGCAGGTACCTGGGTTGCCGGTTCACTCCCTGTCCCCGGTTGTGTGCGGGAGGCAACCAGTCAGTGTATCTCTCTCACATCAATGTTTCTCTCTCTCTCCCCCCTCCCTCCCTCCTTTCTACTCTCTCTGAAAAGCAATAGAAAAAATATCCTCAGGTAAGGATTAAAAAAAAAAAGTCATGTAATAACAAGCATTATTAAAGATGTGGAGAAATTGGAACCCTTATAAAGTGCTGATGGGAAAGAAAAATGGGGCAGCTGCTTGGAAAACAGACCCGCAGTTCCTGAGAAGATTAAACAGAGTTCAACCGCAATCCTAGGCACATATCCAAGAGAAATGATAACATATGTCTACACAAAAACATGTTTGCAAACATCCACAGCAGCATTATTTGTTAATAGCCAAGAAGTGGGGGCCACCCAAATGTCTACTGACTGAGGAATGGATATGTAAAATCAGGTATAGCCATTCAGTGTAATATCACTCAGCCGTAAAAAGGAATGAAGCACTGCACACGCTACAGCCCGGGTGCGTGCCCTGACTGGGAATTGAACCCGCCACCTTTCTTTCTGTGTACGGGACCGAGCCACCCCCGCCAGCGCAAGGCTGCTCTTTTTTACCTTTCATGCTGACACACACGATGGCTGACACGGTACAGATAATAACAGCCAGGAGAACTATGAGCACAATCAAGTAAGTGCCGAGCGGGACCCCTCCAGCGCAGTCCAGCTTCCCTCGGTGACTGAGGTACAAGGTCAGAATGCCAAGCCACCTGTCGGGAAACGGAGGGTCAGGAATGGAACCCAAGGAGCTGCTTTGCAAAACACGACAGAAAGAACTAAAAGGAGTCAGTATTTTTCAAAACAAGGTGAGGCTGGCTTTGAAATACAATGTCCATCAATAAAAGATCTACAAAGTCAACAAAGAGTGTAATTTTTAAAATGAGTTTTAAACTTCCCATGCTTGCATAACTGTTCTTGCTCCGTGCCCGCTGTAATACGCGACAGGCACGTACAGCCGTAAGAAAGCAAATATAACTTGAGCCGCTACAGCCCCGTCGCGGCTCAGAAATACACAACTGGTAAACCGACGAACTATATGCTTGCTAAATTATTAACAAGAGAGCTTCTGCTTCCGCGATTAACAAGGCACATGGGCAAACATGCACTGTGATTTGCTGGGTGCAATACAGCAGGTCACACAAAGACGTTACGGGGTGAACACTGGTAAGTTTGGAAGAAGTAGTGTGGACTCATGTTCTGTAATTCAGTGCAACACACAACGCCAAAGAACCTGGCCTGTGGCTGCAGGTGGTCCCCCAGAGGGTACAGCCTGCCTGGCAGGAACACGCATTAAGCATTCAAGCCCAGGCCACGTGGAAATGGCCTCGGCAACCTTTCATGCTTTTGTCAGTTCTGTGATGTTACCACCGCTGTGTCTAGAAATCACGGGAACTGACCTCGGAAAGACTTAGCTTTGAAAAGTATTCAACTACCGAGTAGGCAGCTCCTAACGTTCCCCGATTTTATTTCTTTCCCCCTCGAAAATCTACTTTTTTATAGCGACGGTGTTATTATTCTTTGCTCAGACCCTCTGACAACACATCGCGGGGGCCCCCAATTCCACTTTCTACCGATTCCACGCTCCCAG